TTGTTTAGGAAGCTTTGCTTGAAAAAGAAGTGCACGTGCAACATTGAGCATGTGACGATGTTTTCTCTCAACCACACCATTTTGTTATGGTGTGTTGACACAACTAGTTTGATGAACGATGCCTTTGAAAGAATAGAAAGATTCATCCTTGAATTCAGGAGCATTGTCACTATGCACAATTTTAACTTTGGAAGAGAATTGTGTCTCAACCATGTTAATGAATTTAACTAGAAGATCCCTAGTATCAGACTTATGGCACATCAAATACACCAAAGTGCATCTAGTGAAATCATCAACAATGGTGAGAAAATAGCATGCCCCAGAAAGAGAGGCAATGCAATAGCCACCCCAAATATCAACATGTAATAATTCGAAATGAACATTGCTAGAAAATATTGCACTTAAATAAAATTGCAATCTGGTATGTTTAGCCAATGGACAAACCAAACACTTGTTTGCGTCACAAATTTTATTGTTGTGTGAAAAGGAAAATAAAAAAGACACTTTGTTGGATGGATGCCCAAGACGTTGATGCCAAAGGCTAGGAGAATGTGAGCATATTGAATTGCAAAATGCTTTCTTGGTTTGATCAAGATAGTAGAACCCCTCCTATTCAGTTCCCGCCCCAATCATCTTCCCTGAACGTAGGTCCTGTATTACACAAAAATGGTTAAGGAAAATAGTAATACAAAGGGATTGATAGGTGAGTTTACTGATGAAAATAAGATTTAGTTGAAGGACTGGGACACACAAAACATTTTCAAGAACCAAACTGGAGGCAAATATGATTTGTCCAATATGAGTAACATGAGCCATGGAACCATCTAGAAGTTCAACAGTTCTATTTTTGACATGCTTCCAAAAAGTAAGTAAATCGAGGCTAGAAACCATGTGGTCTATGGCACCAATGTCTAGGATCCAAGTAGTTTTCCTGCCGTTAGTGGAAAAACATAAGGCTTTACCTGAGAGTTTGTCACATGTTGAGGACTTACCCACATGATTCACCATGACAATTATATTCTTGCTGAGCATGTTCAGGATTTGTTGGCACTGCTCTTGTGTGAAGGGAAAAGAATTGGAGATATCCTTCTTCTCAAGTTGATGTGCAGTGATGAGTCAATTTTATATTATATATTTTACCATATTCTTAGTATGTTTTGGTAATTATTTTGGTAGAATTTTGATACTTTGATTTATTTTTTCAATATAAGACAGCCGACTTCCTCTAGAGCAAAACATGATCAAATGGATGAATTTTAGAGTGATTCAAATTGGAGGACGTTCGTGTGTCTCTTGGCATGTTTGTATCAAAATTTGGGATTTTTCTACCAAGCGATTATTTTCTGGCAATGGAAGCAGTGCGCAGTGCTGGAAAATGACATTTTTTTTGCTTAAATTGCGTTTTTTGGAGCCAGAGATGACCTCTGATAGGTTCATGGCCTTCTGGAGAAGTATTCAGAATGTTCCAAACCTTAAATCCAGCTATATTGGGCCTGTTTTGGAGCAGTTTAGGGGTCCAAAACGTGGTTGTTCAGATTTTAGGCGAATTTTACCATTTAATTTAGGGTTATGTTTCCTATTTTATTTCATTATTATTCTTAGTTTACTAGTTGGAATAAAGGACCTAAGTTTTAGGGTTTGTGCGATGGCATAACAACATATATTGTTTTTCCGTCTACAGTTTTTTACTACGCTTTCTTTTATGCAACTTTGGAGACAGAGAGAATTACTAGGGTTCTTGGAGATTTTCTACTTTAAGGTGTTTTCAATCCTTTTCTTAATAATATTTTCTATGATTTTAATTATGAATATGCGCAACTAATTCCTTTTGCTAGGGCGAAGCCTTGAGCCTTAGCATGAATATGCAATTTTTATTTAATTGCTTATGATTGATTGCATGCGTACTTTGAATTATTAATCAATGTGATTAAAACTATCTAATTGTCTTAATGCATGATCACCATTAGGATCTTTAGAAAAGTAATTTGATGCAATTTTGGTCGGAATGTTTCCTGAAATTGACGCTGACTTCTTGTGATTAATAATTGTAATTTCACTTAAGATGAACACCACGTCTTAGGGGTTGCATAGTTTTTCAACGGGTTTTCATAAAGCATAATGAGTCTCTCATGTTCAGATTTAATCTAAACGTCCATGTTAGATATATATTATATGTTGGCGGTTCCAAGTAGAATATAAATTAGGAAAACCTAACCTTCAAAGTGGCATGTGTATATCATAAGTAATTGGTAAAAGTTCATAGGATTACTGGGTGATGGTGGAACCCTAGTGCTTTCTTAATTTGATTTCTCCAAAACTTTTCCTTTTCTTTCATCTTTAAATTGCAGATTAGTTTACTTTTATTAATTAAATTCGTTTTTAATTTAAGTAGGTTATAAAATCAATCATCTCAATTTCTACTTTACAATAATTAATTGGAATTTGGTTTGTTTCGAATTATTTAATAATTCCTGTGGAGAGCGACCTTGTCATTCTTGCAAGTATTATAGGAGTTTTTAGCCTGTTTACGTGTGTAGTAAAATCCCTATCATGCAGCAACATCTTACCCTTAGAATTACTCTTAAGTGGATCGGATTCGGCCTTCTTGAGTTTGCGACAATAATCAATTGTGTGGCCTCTCCACCCACAATAAGTGCACTTCAAATGTGATATGCAATTCTCTGTGTTGTGGCCAGTCTTGTCGCACTTTTCACACTTGGAGTTGTTACTTTTCTTCCCGGTGTCTTTCTGTGTATCTCTGGCTGCAAACACCGATGCCTCAGGTTGAGTCACTCCTTTTTCAGCGGACACATCACGTTGACGTTCATGTTTGAGAACAAGAGAGTAAGCTTTTCTGACCTTAGGCAGAGGGTCCATCATTAATATTTGTCCTCGCGTCATAGCGATCACTCAGTCAATCCCATGAGAAACTTGATAGTTTTCTGTGTTTCTCAATAGGACAATTCCTCATTCGTAACTCCAAAGTTGCAAGCTGAGATAGGGCAAAGAATGTCCCTCTCATCCCACAAGCCTTTGAGTTTGGTAAAATAAGACCCAACATACATGGTGCCTTGAACACAATCATGAATTTCATTTTCAATTTGGAAAAGTTGAACGTTGTTTACCTGAGAAAAGCGTTCTCGCAACTCGTTCCAAACTGCTTGTGCTCCATCACAGTAGAACACACTAGCTGCAATCTCCTTGGAGATTGAACTCAATAACCAAGTTTTGACCAGGCTGTTGCAGCATCTCCATTGCTGCAATTCATCAACGTCTTCTTCACTTGGTTTCTTGATCGACCCATCAACAAAATAATATTTGACTTTTTACTGTCAGGGCCATAGTCATAGAGTGACTCCATGTGTTTTAATTATCCTCAGTCAGGAGTTGTGATACAAGTACCAACCCAGGCTGATTTAAATGATGAAGATACAGTGGGTGATTAGGACTGTCAAAATTTGATGCCATTGGCTTCTTTGAGTTTTCGTTGTCGTCTCCCATGGTGATGGCTAGGGTTTCTTTAGGTTACCAAGATCGTTGCTCTGATACCATATTGAAAGAATATTTGGTGAAATTGATTTCTATATTTCATCTCAATGCTAGTATAACATCGTTATACAGGATGGGATCAATTAAGATCCTAGACTATCTCATATAATTACGTCTGCTATACATACATAAAAGGAAGGAAACTAATGTCAATCAATTTACAATATTCCTTAGCTTGTTTCTTGGAATTATCTACCGAACAGATTATTTATGGTGATGAAACAAAGGAGAAGTGTGTGGTGCTGGAAAACTGACATTTTGGACTTAATTGCAATTATTGGAGTCCAGATGGCCTCTTTTGGGCTTGGGTCCTTACGAAAAAATGTTCAAGACATCTTAAACTTTAAAACAATCTATTTTGGGCTTGTTTTGGAGGTTGACAAGGCCTAAAACATGTTTGATTAGTTGCGTGGCTGATAAGTTGCATGTCAGATTTGCCTTTATTATTTAGGAGTTTGTTTCCTAGTTTCTCTTAATTTATTTTGTTTCCTAGTTTTATTCTAAAAATTTTCTAGGAAAGATTTGAATTGTAGTACTATAAATAAGGGTGGCCGGCCATAGTAATTCTCTACGAAACTTTGAGAGGATTGCCAAAGGCTCTAGTAGATTTCAAACTTTATTCTACAATGTGTTTTCATTCTTTTTCTATTTTGATAAAAAAATCCTTTTGATTTTAATATGAATATGCATAATTAATTTTCTTTTGCTAGGGCGAGGCCATAAGCCTTAGTATGAATATATAGGTTTTATTTAATTTCTTATGATATTATGTATGCTTGCTTTGAATTATTAATCATTGTGTTTAAACTGTCTTTGTATCTTTAATGATTCGCGACCATTAGAATGTAGATAAGTAATTGTATGCAATTCAAAGTTGCATGTGTAATTCAATAATAGTTGATAAAATTACATAAGATTGTTTTCTTTTAAACTGGTCTTTTGCGGATTTCTTTAATTTGTTTATTTAATATTTGTTTTTAATATTTTAAAATCCAAACTCAATTTTTGCAAAACTTTGTTTCAAGTAATTAATTAAGATTTGGTTTTATATAAATTGTTTTAATTAATCCCTATAAGAACGACCTTGAGCATTCTTACTATAACAATTTTATTCTCTTACAAGTATTTTATATGATTTTACCCTTCTCTGCGCAGATACTTAAAAAATCTATCAAGGCACAATTCTATATAAACTCCAAATTTTGATTATTTTTTCAAATTTCTTTCTTGAAATCGTACTATTGTAGAAGTACTATCCGGCGTTTCGTCCCGTGATTTATACAATTAGCCCCTCTGAAATCTCAGTTTTAACCATCATGTAGGAACTGCATTATTGCCTGCACGTTTGGTTCATACAGGTGCAGGGCAATTGGACAAGCAAAAGCAAAAACCATAGGCACAAAAGGTGGAGGGTAGTAAATGCAAGGGCGAGGAAAACGTGGTCAAACAAGTAACACCAAAACTCAAATATGACATTGACAAAATTGACATTCAAAACACTAGTCATGAAAAACATGGGCAGGTCCATACATTGATTTGAGTCAGCAAGTAGCCTGTAGGAAGCAACTTTGTGTACATAATGCCACAGAACACAAACATCCAGAGACTTTCACTTTTAACCCACTCTTAAATATTTCTCTCTCCCTCCCCTGAATTTTTACCTGGTTTCACTGTAGTTTCCCTTATGCCTTATATAACTTACTGTACACAAAGACTGTAGAGATGATGCCCCCCTCTAATCTGCAGACCTACTTTTACCACATCGCAGAGTTTAAGCTCTTGTGCTTTTACTAAAGTTTAAGGCTTTTTTTCTGAATATCCCGAAGCACACTAGAAAATCCGCTTCTGCTAGCTCAAAACCACCATCGGTTTTTTAAGCAGTGCCTACTCCAAGGAAATCAATGAAATGGATGGTGGTGGTCTTCTCATGATGCAGATCTTGATCTTCCCCAGATAATGACAGATTGGTCCTAGTGGTGGTGACTGACTCGTCCCCAGAAATTTCTGAATCTGATTGATGACCGGAATTGTCCACACCCTTCATAGCTGCAGCTGCTGCTCCAACTCCTCTCACTGGCCCAGTGCTCTTGCAGAAACCATTACCATTGCTACCAATCATCTTGTTAAATCCCCCATCACTTGATGATGGGCCTGCAACAACAAAAAGAAAAAAAAATATAGACTAAATTTCTTAAATACACTAATTAACCACATCAGAAACAATAAGGTGATCCAAGTTCCATCCTGAACTTTCTCGTCCAAGCTCATTTAACTTTGGAGTTCTTATGAGATCCGGTGAATGTGAGTTTGGTATGATATCGCATCCGACCATTGAAAAATTTGGTCGTGCATTTTTTATGATTCATTTATAAATTGAAAAAGAGGTAACATAAGGAACAGTCACATACCCATAGGTGATCCAATGATTTGGGGGCGATGAAAAGGGTGGAACTTGGAGAAAAAGGTGGGAGGGGGTTTGTTTGAGGGAGTGAGGGAGAGATCAGTGCATGTTGAGGCAGACTGAGTGCTGTCATCATTGATGGTGCTTATTGAGACGGTTGATTCAGTACTGGTGGAAGGATTCTTTGGGAAATTAGCAACCACATGAGGAAGAGGGGAAGGAGGTGGAGGAGAAGAGGGCTTTCTCCTCTTGAAAACATTGGATTGCTCTCTGTGTCTTCTGGCCATGATCACATGCCAATGGTTCTTCACAGCATTGTCAGTCCTTCCAGGGAAAAGCCTTGCAATCATTGCCCATTTGTTGCCATAGAGTCTGTGGGCTGCCAGCAGCCTTTCTTCTTCCTCCTCACTGAATGCCCCTCTGTTGATCCTTGGATCTAGCTGGTTGAACCACCTCAATCTGCAACTCTTCCCTGCAAATCAAAAATCAGATGAAGAACAATGTTAGATTAAATAGTTTACATCCGAGGGGCAGAAATATACATGGGTGCGCAAACAGGAGAAAACAGTTCTGCGGAAATCATTTAACTTTCGAAGTACCAAAATCCAAAGAGGGGGGTATAAAATTTACCTGATCTACCATCAAGATGCTCAGCTATAACGTTCCAGTTTTGAGGACCATATTGTCCCACAAGTTCTTTGAGCTTTGAATCTTCAGCTGGTCTCCAATGGCCTCTGATACAACTCTTAGCACTAGTTCTCCCACCAGCAGGACTCCTACCTTCATCATCATCTTCCTCTCCAACAAGATTCAAATTCAAAGGCGTGGGTCTTTTCTGATCAACCCCAGAAAGCACACCAAGATCACTTATATTTTTTGGTCCCCCATTTTCCAAAGCCTGAAAACTCCATGGTTTGTTGGTTTGTTGGGATGATGAGGGACTGAAAGGCACAACCCCCATTGCAGAAGTAGAAGAACCACCAAAGATGTTTGAGAGAGAAAGTTGATTAGAAACAGGAGGTGGTGGCAAAAAGTTCAAATCTTGGTATCTGGTAAAACCATCACAATCACTCATCAGATGTCGAAACGCCATCAGTACCTCTCAGTTGGAAAACTAACCCACCAAACAGAAAATCAGAAGGGTAAAAACCCAAAATGCAGAATCAATGAAAATGGAAGAAGAAAAAAAGCAGAAAACTTGGGGTGGTCTTTCTAATCAAACAGAAAAAGTGCAATGCCACAAGGCAGGACAACAGAAACCAGGACCTGGGCTTTCTTCTATTATATCACACTCTATCTGTGAGATCACTCACTCCAACAAGGGTCTGTTTGGCAGGAAAGAAAGAGAGAGAAAATGCAAGAGAAAAAGCAGAAATCAGAAGAAAATCGATTAAACAAGAAATGGGAACAGGAAACAAAGAAATGGGTTTTGTTTGGGAGAAAGAAATAAACAAAAAACCACACGGTTGAACTTTGATTCTCTCCTCCTCTTGGAGAGCCAGGGTGCTTATTTTGAGACTGATATCATCATCTCTCTCTCCTCTCTCTCTCAAATAGAAAAATGGGGCGGTGGGATTGTTTGGAAAGCAGGAAAGTCAGTGCTGCTGTTGTGCATGCACTTCGAGAACCGCTCGTGTGGGTGGTTCCCGTCGTGGTGGTGGGGATCAAAGCCTCTCTCTCTCTCTCAAGACTGATGCTTTTGAGTTTGAGATATTCGTGAGAGGGTTGGGTTGGGGGGGTTTATCTATGTAGTCGTAGAAGTACTCCTACTTGTAGTCGTAGTGCTGCATTGCTTCGGTTTTGTCTCATCCTTCTTTTTTTTATATTTTTTTTCTTGTGTGTTGGCATTGGTTTTTGGGGAAACCAGAATCTGTTTGTCTGTTTCCGAAACGTTTCTTTTGCCATTTTTTTTTTTCAAATAACGGAAATTTTCAGGGACCGTAGACTTGAGCTTCATCCCAACAACCTGTCATTGCCCTTCTGTGTTCTCTCATTTCCCATAACTGAAAATACTATCCTCATTATATATATTTTTTTTACGTCGGATCCTTTTTTTATGAATTTTAAGAATTTCATGATTGTGAACGTTCATCGTATATTGTACGATTAAAAATTATTTCAAAATTTAAATTTTAAAATTAAATATAAATAGTACCTAATGAAAACTGACCGCGCGATGTACGATAAACAATCATGATCACGGAATCCCTAGGATCCTCAAAAAAAAAATTCAACGAGGATCATTTTCCTTCTTCTTTTTTCCGTATATAATATTCAAACTAAATACATTTCACACCAACGAAAATTGATGTCAATTTTAAATCGGAATACGAAGTTTTAAATTTTTCATATTACATTGATATTTTGAAATTCGTTCAATTTACACTAACCGTAAAATTGTAATCTTTATTATGGAATTGAGAATCTGAGACCAACTAAATTTCCATAACAAAATTTAGTACAATTCTTCTCAAATTTACACATTTTGTTGTGTCTCTTTTGACAATAGGACTATAATTTAACGAAAGATGTAAATTGAAAAAATTTTAAAATAACATAGGGTAAAACTCAGGATTGATTTTCAAACTAACACCAAAACTTCTAAATGTACTTATCCAATAATATTTAAGTACTTTCTATTTGTCTAAAGTTTATTTCCTTTTATTATTTTACTTCTGCTTCCATTTAAACCTTTTAGCTTAAGGGAATATATTTGAACAGATTTCTTTCTTTTTCTGCCTTTTTTTCTTTGTATTGTTCCATTTTTTTAAGTGCATGCATGTCCTTGTTGCAGGATCTAGCTTGGCAAATTGTACCAGCCTAAGCAAAGTGCCTTTTTCGTGTTCTTCTGCAAGCAAACGTTTTTCATTTGACCAAATTAAGAGTTGAGTAGCTATAGCAGGTTTTAGATGTCTATGATTTGTGAAAACAAAAGGATTAATTAGTAGAAATGATTATTTTACAAAAGGCAATGCTAAAAAAATTAATTATTTAGACTAAATTTTGTAAATTATATGATATGATTATAAGATTACTACTTAAGTGTTGATTAACGTGTTTATTTTTTATTGGTGATAGATCACATGTTTGTAAATTTGGTTTAAAAAATTAGTCTACCTAACATTACTCTTTTACGAATCTCAACATTGAAATTCAAGGTGAATTCCGAACGAGTCGGATTGGAAATAAATTTGTCAATTTCAATTCCAAAAATTTCAAAATTTTGTGAACTTTTAGAATCTGAGTTGTCTCAAAAGTTTTTCTGGCCACAACGGCAGATTAAATGTATATGACCTATTAAAAAATGACAGGTTAGATGCAAATAAAAGAATTCTGGAATTTTCTTTTTCTCATCGAAAAAGAATTATTCATCCTTCTTGTTTAATCATAAACATAAAACAATACTTTTCTAATACTGAGATGCGATAAAAAGAGAAAATCACAATTTTATCGGATCTCATGTCTTGAACCTTATAGACCTCTAGATGTTGAGTTTTATCTCAAAATAATCTTGGTGCAATTTAACAAGAGCTATCACTTTAATGTACATTTCTACAAACAACCCCTTCTTCCATGCGGGACAATTGTACTTGTTCAACGATTCCTAAATACCATCGGACATATCATTTCTAATAACTCATAACAACCGCTATGCAAATATCCCTAGAAGAATTTTCCTCACATAAACATATTTTCATATATTCAGCCATCTAAAGTACCTGAGCTCATTTGAAAGAGCTTTAAAATGATTGAAAATGTTTTTGGTGAAAGTGTTTTTGGAACTAATTCTTAGTAAAAATACAAATAATCAAATACATTCTCTAAAAACATTTCCTGTGATTTTAAAAACACTTCCACCACATTATTACTAACCATTGTGAGGCTAAGCACATCTCTTCCCTTTAAGGTTACATTCAATTGTAATTGGTTGCCCATCTAAGCCTTCTCTGATTAGTACATCTCTTAAATATGTATGAATGGTTTTCTTCTCTTATAAGTATCGAGGACCAACTAGAATTGGCTAGTCGACAAAGTTTTCCAAAGATAAATTTGCAACAGCTCTGTGCTCGCAATGAAATGAAACCAAAACTAAACTTTAAGTGGAATTATGCTTAGGGGATATTACCCAAAGGTTGGGTATTTTGTCATAGTCTATGTTAATGTCAACTTATTCAAAATCCATAGAGAATATATAAATGGGAAAATGGCTTGCCAAATCATGTAATTATTTTTTTGTCGAACAAATCATGTAAATTTTTTTGGATGGTCTAGAGTTGAAAACCATCGTAATTACTAAACAAATCTATATAATTAAATGTGAAAGCAATAATTTAAGCATCTGAGTCTCTTTGGCTCACATCACCACTATGTTTGGAGTCCTTATGTTCTTTTCTCAGTTACCATTCGAGTTTAAGGAGAGCATTCTTATGCCACTTAATATCACAGTCTAATGGTATTCCTCTTTACTTATAAGTAAGAGGTCTTAATTTCGATTCTAGTCAAATGCGAATTTTAATTACATTATTGTTAGCCCATCCCCTCCCTATTAGTGTAGATAATATCATTTTTTCAGAGGAAAAAAAAAAAAAAAAAGGGAGCATCCCTATATAGTGTGCAGGTTTACCTTTTGAATGAGAAGTGAACCTAAATTGTAGGTGTATCTTAGTTTCTAGGGAATATTTAAAAGGATTGTAATCTTATCTAGAACCACATGCTTGCACTGGAATCCAAAACTAAATAAAATCAGGCATCAAACATGAAGTTAATAGGATATCTGGATACGCATGAAATTCTGAGCCAAATTTCTTCCTTGTGGCTCAAATCGAGGCACGGAGCTAGTTGAGGTGGCTCTTGGCCTTGCCATGCTTGTTTAAGGTCTTTCAGACGAGTTACAAGAGCTCTGAGCCTGAGGAGCCCGAACTTAGCCTGTCAGGTTTTGAGAAGGTCTTTTGTTGGAGGAAAAATTTGTTCACGAATGTTAGGTCCGTGCAATTTATGTTACCCACATAAGGTATTTGACAGACCATGCCACAACTAGCTTAGAAAGAGTTGGAAGATAGCCAATGGGTCAATAAACGCACTAGAAAAAGAGCCAATGTTGTGAAGACATAAATTAACTGCAACAAATGCGAAAAAGACACATAGACTTTTAGTTCAATATGATGCATTTAACTTTGACTCGTGAGCAAACCAAACCGGACCTTGAGTGGTTGAGCATCTGCCTGCCCAACAAGTCTTGGGTTTTCGAGCTCATATACATATCAAGGTGTCCTTCAGGCCCATGATATGCCAATCCTACCACCGTGCCCTGACTTAAGGAGACAGGGATCGGCCCTTCAGAGTCTCCCTTGAGTGATTTGCGCTCCAGGCATCTACCTTCCATAGGCTTACCACCAGAGACTTCCCCTAGCTGCATGAGGAGTGTGGTCTGCACCACGCTAGTAGAACATAGTGGTCTACGTAACATGGGTTACGGCCTCACTTGCCAACTGCCAGCGAGGAGTCTCTTCTATAAATATCCAATTTGAACAAGGAGATTGGTAGTTGCCACTTGCTACTCAGAATTCTCTATATTCTAGTTTATCTCAAGCTATTTCTGACTTAGGAATCAAAGGCTCATTGACGGATACTCTCCCCCTTTTCTCGGTTGTTTACCAATTAGATTAACAGTGTTATTTATTTTGCATGTGCGATTTCATCAATCCAACCATGAACGGAATTTACATCCATAAATGCCTATAAATGCGAAAGGTTAGAGGGCTAATAAGAAAAGAAAACTAATGAAAATGGCTTGAAAACTTTGAGTTTTAATTATAAGGACAAAATAAATGGTAAAGTGAATAGTACCATGATTGACTTTTTAGTGTAAAAATGTTATTTTTCGTTAAAGTGAACAGTACCAGGAACTTTTCGTTAAAGTTCCCTAATAAGAATCCCTATAAGGCACAAAGACTCCAGATACCAACACCTAGGCCACAAGCCTGGAGTTGATAGACTGTCCCTCGATTGAAGTGTTGAGCGGCCAAACTCATGCCTACTGAATTGTCTTCCCTTGGTTATTTTACCTTCCTTTGTGTTAGGTTTGTAATCTTCCATCGGATTAATTAAATTATCTTCTTAGACAAAAAAAAAAAAAAAAAAAGTGAGTTTGCCATTGAGCCGTTCATTCCGAGATCACAATAATTTCCAACCATATAAATATTATATTTATTCGATTAAAGGTTTTGGCCCTATTTTGTATTTCGGCAAAAAATGCTATTCAAACACAAAAAATAATCACATTGCTAATCATTTTCATATAGAAGAGGACTTCGTCATTAAATGTGGGACTCGCTAGCATTAAAAAGATGATCAATTTTACATGTTTATTAAAAAACTAACATTATTTACACCGAAAACAAATAAAATGCTCTTTTATTCGATTGTATTGGATCTGATTGTACAACAATTTCGTCTTTTGAATAACAAAAATAATAAAAAATAAAAAATGGGTGAAAACTTTCTTTCTTCTCTTTTCTATTTCCCCTAAAGTAAAACCAAGGAAACTTGTTTGACAATGCAATGCATGCAAGTGCTTGGCTTTGAACTTTGCACAACGAACGTAGCCATACCCATCATTACATTTTATTTACCCCAAGAACACTCATCATTCCATTTGGCATTGAAAAACCAAAAGAATTGGTAACAAAAAGAAAAGAAAGATAAAAGTTAATCCCATCTCACAAAGAAAATATCACATCAAAAAAG